TTCTATCAATCATAAATGGTTTGCACGAAAAGAACTGTACAAGTATTTCTATCTCGTTTATAATTGAAAATTTCTATGTTGAAATCTATGCTCGGCAATGACACACACATCCGATCTTGAACCACTCAGAAATTGCAAGTTTAGGCGTGTGCGTATCATGTTGGAATAGGACCGTGTTGTCCCGGGTTCAATTCTTGTGAGGTAACTTTGTAATATATTTTCACTCTTGTTGAGTAAAATTTAACACATAGATTCGTTCGGAACATATAACGAATGGTCTGCTTGGGTGCTAGCGTATAGTGCTGGGCTGGTACTCAATAATCCCGGGTTCAAATCTTGTCAGTTACTAGGGTAAGATATTTTCGAGATGTTAAGCGAAATATAAACACAACTTGACCATGACCATGACTTTAATCGAGTGATGGAAACATTTTGAAAATGGCTCAAGGATATGGCCTTGAGCTCAAGGCTATGGCCTTGGCCTAGTTGTGTAGAAATTTTTAAATTGAAAAGTGTAATGGCCTTGAGCCCAAGGCCATGGCCTTGAACTCAAGGCCACGGAAAAATTTTAAATTGGAGAATGTAATGGCCTTGAGCCCAAGGTCATGGCCTTGAACTCAAGGCCACGGAAAAGTTTAGAAATAGGAAAATTGGTCGAGGCCACGGTCAAGGTTAGGGTCAAGGTCCACGCAGCAACAACTTCTACAACAACAACAACAACAACAACTCCTACAACTCTCTGCTCTACTCTACTATACTGCTCTACTGCTCTAGTGCACTGTACTCTACTCTACTATACTGCTCTACTGCACTGTACTCTACTCTACTATACTTGGTCTTACTGCGCACTCGTACTCTACTCTTCTATAGTACTACTGTTATTACTTGCTCTAGCTGCCACTGTTTACTCTACTCTACTTCTACTGCTTACTGCACTGTACTCTATCTGCTAGCTTCTACTACTTGAGCTCATCTCTAAATCTATGTACGCACTAGTTTTTTTGCTGCTCTAACTCCACATGCGGTAGATTCCCCAACGCAACCAGTGATTCACTGCACTCTTGTATTATGCCTATACCACTCTACTCTTTACTGAAAATTGTAGAACGATTTCTTTATCAACATTGTCATTGTGGACACCTACATAACCGCACTCATAATAAAAGTACTCTGAAAACTTTAGTTAGAGTATATTTATTACAAAAGTATTTCAATCGTGAATGCACGTGCTAATACAGCACGCGTGTCGACTTCAACATACGCTAATTGTAATATATGTACATAATAAAATATAAAAACGTGCAGTGTTTCTTTGTAGAAGGACACCGACTGAAGAAAGGTTGTAGTTGGCGTTGATACGCAGGTTATGTGCACGTTGAACGCTCTTTCTATTCGGTAGTACACTGGAGACTTTCATGTTTGTAATGACTGTAGTGAAAACAGCTCAGTGAACGTTACTTCCTTGTCTTGTCTTTATCTATTCCTAAGTCTATTACAGAACCTTTACAACAGGCTTAAGACTAAGTGCGAATAACACGGCCTACATAGTGGCGTAAATACATAGAGTAATTAGGGGATTGAAACAGGTCGGATGGTAACGAGGGAATAACTATTAATGTAAAATGGGCTTGGCGCGCCCTGTTGTCGCCGTCGTGCGTCGTTGTCGTTGTGACGCCGATGTGTGGCGCGTATCGCGGGCGTGGCGGCCGGTACCCGCACGTCGCGCTCCTCCTCCTCAGTATGCGTGCGTGGGGGAGTGAGTGCGGCGGTACTCTGCCGCATCGAACGACGCGGCCGTAAGAGCGCGACGGCTCGTGCAACGCGCTCCCACGGGCAACATGCGCGGTGGCCATGGCGTGCACGGTGCGTGGCAGTTGTCGCGGACTCGCATGTTCGTCTGCGTCACGTGCCGTCGCATCGGTCGATGACGGTGTTGCGTAACCGCATACATAGCGGTGCTTAGGCGTGGTCGGCGAACCCCTGACCGGAACTCAAATGACGTCGCGACCGTAGACGACCCGCGTAACGTTTCCCAGCGAAGGTTATTCGGACCGGCGCCCCGGCGCCGGGAGGTTGGTGGGGTCCCGCGCCTAGCACGGGCCGAGCCCCGCATGCACGCGAGCGAATGCCGCCAACTTGCGCCGTCCTGCCATCGCGTCCGGGTCTGCGGCGGGCCAGGTGGGATTCTCCGGGGGCGTGGTCGTCGGCCGCGCGTCCTCACGATCTCTGAGATGGTTGATATGCTGGCGAGTTCCATTGCGTCTGCTGAGTTTGGTCGATGATCGGTGACACTGCCATGAGCGGTGAGGGGAGAACAGTCGTAGTCGCCAGCTTAGGCTACGGATAGCGTGAAGGTAACGAATCAGGGTAACGTTATA